ATCAGATGTAGGTAGGGCAGAATTAAAAAAAATCACAAAATCAAAATCAAAGTAAAATAATAAAATAAAAGGGCATTAATAACAAAAGTAATAAAAAATGAAATTAAAAAAAGTTTATAGCCAAAATAATTAAAGCCCGTACTACATCAGATTTTAATCAGATTGAGTATAAGTAAAAGTATCTTGATATGTTTTCGCTAAATTGTGTATAACTAGCCATCCGTTCTCGATTGTTCTCAATTTTGAGTGTCTGGTACTATACAATAAGTGTGCAATGAGACGTGCTCAGGTAGTGTGCTTCCTTTCTATCTTCATTATATACCCATCGAAAACCCCCGGATGTAAAGATATTGACAGTTCCAAATATAGAAACTAGTAATCACCTGCCCGATAAAAAACATCCACATGGCCAACAACGGGAAAAGTTTGGTACCTAATATGGTATTGCTTCCACAGTCTTAATTCCTAATTTGGCAACGATTAATCAGACGGGTGATCAGAAGCCGACAAAGTGGCTTAAAATTAATCGAACAATTTAATTCAGCATCGAATTTACCGGATTTCCCGCTAATTGATCGTACACAATAGTTATTAACATGAGCGTACATCTGCTGCTCGGCAATGCTAATTAATGAGAACAGAAAGGACAGCGCTGTAACGCCTTCAAATAGGCTATATAGGTCATTTTCGTGATGCATCTCGAAACTCATAACATGTGGCCCGAGAAAGATCTTTCCCACGATGCTGCTACCGGGTGTAACTCGGTTGTTTTCCGCGTTTACCTATTCAAATGTGATGATGTCATCAAACTAGATGATATCATTTTGCGGAAAAGTAATTTTAGTAAAATAACATTAAAATAAAATTTTGCTCAGATGTTTTGATTCGCCAAATAATTACCTTATATATGTCATACAATTTTCATATATTCGTCTCGGGAATAATTTATCCCTCTCTGTGACATAACTGCCCGAGCTCCATAAATACTGTTGTCATCAGTGACATATGAATGGCTTCTGTGGATACTCAGCTCCTCCCAGCAGTCATCGACGATCGTTTCCCGACATACATGACGTTGACACGTAATAATTCATTTCTCATTTGATTATTCGTATGTTAATGTATTCTACTTTAATATCTTTCATTGTTAACGGTATAACAAGCAGCGTTAAGAGATGTACAGTGGCCGCGGTAAGACACTTTCAATTATTCATTTTCTTTCGTTAATCATTTTGTTCAAGCTGCTTAATACGACGTTCATTCTGCCTGTCTAAATATATATCTATATATCTATATATTTACTTTTCAAAGCCACGGTCAACAAGAAAAACACCCATAATATATTTGCAAGCTCCGCTGCATTCAAAGTGCAAGTGAGTACTTATTATATAACTAACACCGTATTGAAACATGTCAAATTGAATGTTTGTTACCATCGTTTCGTCATCAATGAACGATCGTAAATAATTTGGGCACATCAAATACCGAGGTGTGATGTGTTGTGATCAAATACCGAGGTGTGATGTGTTGTGATCAAATAAGAAAGTCAACACGAGCAGATTGACAACGTGCTACCATACAGTGTAATCTTTATTTGGTTATTTATCTATTTATTTATTCAATAATAAGGATGCAATATTAGGGATGGCTTTGAGTATTTCAAAACAAATATGTCTTAAGGTGCATATGATATTACAGTATTATGATTCATCGTAAAATAATAACATTTTTAACAATAAATGTACAGAAGCAGTATTAATTTGATGAAATTATGAAAAACGCGAATAGGCGGGTATCCGGAATTACCTATAGACCGTCGCACTGTGACGTCATATGTTTACTTTTTCCCAGCCAAAATGCGAATGTCTCAAGCTGATAACAAAATTCGCTTACTGATCACCGCACAGTCAGCTGGCGTACAAGTAATATTAAAATGAATGCGATTAGTTTACCGATACTTACTCTATGGGGGGGGCATCATCTTGAAAACGACATGGAATTAAATAAAGAGAAACGCGTGTTTCAGATTCTTACAAGTCAGGGAAGAAATACCAATCTTTCACAGCCGAATGATTTGTTTGGCCAACATTAGGCAAACCGCTAACACAATTCGGCCGAATCCGTCGTTTTTGTGTGGAAAAAGTCTCTTGCATACGTGCACGCGCAAAACGTTTATAAGTGCGACGGCCTACACGCACATGAATACGTAGTGATTTTGAGCGCATGCGCATTTGTGTGTTCGTTTCGTTTTTTTTAATTTTACAATAATCATATCCTAATAAATTATCAAAATGTAATATAAAACAAATTATTTAAACATGATGAAAAATACATAAACTTATTCACACTGTCTCTCCGCTAATGCAAACATTTCCTATTTTGTCATATTTAGAACATTTTCTTCATTGAATCGGTGTTCTCCGTACACGCACGCTGGTCAGAATGTTGATGGACGAAGACGTAGCCCCCTTGGTCGTTGACAATGGTTCCGGTATGTGTAAAGCTGGTTTTGCCGGCGAAGACGAACCACGTGCCGTGTTTCCGTCCATCGTCGGCAAACCTCGTCATCAGGTACCGTTTATTTCAGCGTTTAAGTTGTCGCACTTCGCTATGTTCGATATGGGTCCCATACGACGTATACAACGTGTGGGAAATACACTGTTTACAGTAAATTAGAACGCCTGTCTCTAGGCTGTCTGTCTGTCTGTTTAATCATGCGTCTGCCGGTGACACATCCGAAGAAGATGTGTACGAGGATGGTGTCACGGAGTCTTGTCGGCGAAGTAAATTTCTAAAGATCGCAAGGTTTTTCGAATGTTGAGACTACATTTCGACATTTTGTATTTATGTTGTTGGAACATAATCGACCGGGA